GCTTCTTGCTCGACTTTTCGTGCCAACGAGTTGCTAACAAGCTGGCTGCAAAGCTCGTGTGAGCTGGTGCACTGCGAGCTTACCCCAGTAGGTCATTACTCTGCATGACTGCTTGGCCACGGGAGTTAATAAAACGAAGTAGTTTTAGTAAAACAACGCAAGTTTTAGATCAGCCAATGACAGAACGGTGGGGAAGCTTACTTTTACGTCGAGTGCAACTTCTGTTTAGGTTAAACTTTGGATGGTTTTAGGAGCTAAAACAACGGGCAAAATATGTGAAAAGAACAAAAAGTATTATAGTTATTAATACTGTACCTCTGTCCAGAAGCACAATACTTTACTTTCAATTTTTACGGAAAAAGAAAAAGATAGGGAGATTTTGGAGAAATCTCCCTATTACCGTTGGAGATGCTCATAGAGCATCTTAGTGCATCGACTTCTTGTTACTATATCCTAAAAATAAGAAGTACTACGTAGTATAACTGTAGTATTAATACTAGTGAGCTTTGATTGTTGGAGTTTTTATTCGAGACCTAGTTATATTAGCACTTTTCCGGCCCATCAGTTCCTTCCTCCATGAGGCACAAATCATCGATTTCGACGGTCATGGATATATATAAGATGCCCGGCGCTCGAATTCCTGGCGTACAGTATGTCGTCATGCCATGTTTAAGTTGTGAAAGGTCACTTGGAAAGCATGTTTATCCCTTCCCGACAACTACCATCCCCCATTTTGGAAAATGGCTGGTGCAGGGATCCGCGTGCGGCATCCACCACGCCTCCCGACAGAGTTTCGTCGATGGACTGCAATCGAAATGTTGGCTACCCTGTATCTATACCCCATATATCAAGCCCAACCTTACGAACCCGATGTCGTGAAGTTCATAGTCCAACAACTACCCGTAGGCGATAACAATGGTGATCTCACGTATACATTGTAGATTTTGAGGGCGTCGCACACGAAAAACAACACACTTCGACAAGACATCGTTTTCTTAGCTTTCTTATCCTTACGAATACATAACGCTACATATGTTCATAGCCATCAACCCTATTCCCACAACAAGCACTTCTTGGACGGGTTCAAGTTCGAGTGGGTGGGACAATTAAACACACGGGCAAACTCGGCGTTATTTTGCAACGCCCCCGTCACGCGGTTCCGATTGGGTGGGTGCTTCCTGTGCAAAGACTCACGGAGAAAGCTATCAGTGTACTTGGAGCACCAGACTTGGGCGTACGACAAGTAGAACAACTTGTCGCCAGTTTCTTCCGTGTACTGCGACGGGAACTTCTTCAAGTACTCGTGGTAAGCACGGAAACTAGCCTTGAGCCCCCCGTTGTCGGCAATGGTTTCACCCAAAGACACCCGGGCGTTGAGTTTGCCCAACTCATTGCCAGTTAGGTCGCTCTTGACGACAAAATTGGCGTACTGGTCGCTTATGCACTGGGCCTTCGTGTTGAAGGCAATGTCGGTGGCATTCGACCACCACGGATTCAACTTGCCGTCACCATCGTAATAACGGAAGCGGTGGTCGAAACCGTGGGTAATTTCGTGACCGATAACCGTCCCGATGCCACCAAAGTTCTGGGCAGCATCGTATTTGAGATCAAAGTACGGGGCTTGTAAAATGCCGGCCGTGAACAAAATTTTGTTCTCAAGCTCCAAGTACCGCGCGTCCAGATTTTGTGGAGGCGTATAGAATTTGTGCTTGTCCACGGGTTGGCCGTTCAGCTTCAAGTTGGAGTCGATGTTCACTTGAGACACCTTCCAGCGGTTCTTCAAATACGTCTTCGAGTCAACCGTCAGCGTGGGGTACAGCTGCGGATTCTCCGGGCCACCCACTAAGTGCACATACTTGGATAGCTTCGTTTGCGCGTTGGCGCGGGTCGAGTTGTCCAACCAGTCGGCGGTGGCAATGCCAGTGGAGAAGGACGACTTCAAGGCCTCGACCAGTTCGTCGACCGCCTTGGCCGTGCCAGGCGACCACACCGCGTCTATGAATTCCTGGCCCAGGAGCTCGCCTAAGACGTCGCCCACCTCTTTCGCGCAGAACTGTGCACGAGTAGGCTCCACTGCTTCACTGAAAGGGTTGCGCTTACTGAAGAAGTTCCAGTTGGCCGTGCGGAACTCAGGGGTCAGGTACTCGGACGAGGCGTGGATGAGCTTGTACTCCACGATGGTGCGGAGGTCGTCCAATGTCGTGTTCTTTAAGAACGCTTCCGTCTTGTCAAAGTAGGTCAAGTAGTGAAACCCCACCCAGTCGTTCGATCCACCGCACTGGTCCCGGACGTTGAAGCCGTTGGCCTTGAGCCACGAACCGATAAGCAGCGGGTACTTCTCATCCAGTTCGCAGTAGTTAAACACAGTGTACGGAGACGCTTCGGCTTTCTTCTCTTCGTGTCTGCTGAGGGCGAAACCCTCCAGAGTTTGCTCGAAACGGGTGATCACCGGCACGGCAGCCACCGCTTGCTCGGCAGTGTAGCCAGCTAGCTGCAACACCGACGTAATGTACACCTCGTAGTCGCCTTTGATCGAATTCCAATAAGCAGGAACGGTGTAGTCCCATCGACTCAGTGGCAGGGGGGCTCGTAACCCGAAGAGGGCGTTCTTGGTTGCGTTGGCGTTACCAGGTCTGGCCTTGATGTCCACGAAAGCAGGGATGCCGTACTTGACCAATTCACCAGCCACAGCGAGGAGGTTCAACGTGGTGTTGGCCGACCGGATGGCTTTGATCGAGTCGGCTAACGGAGCCAGGCCGAGCGACGAGAGCGTAGCCGTGTCCAAGCACGAGCTGTAAAACGCGCCAATCTTGGTCGTGTTGTCAGACAAAATCTTCTTCACCACGGCTTCGTTTTGGATGGTGAGCTTGGCGGCCGCCGTATCGATTAAGTGACTGTCCGGGGGGATGACAGCATCCTTGAACCACGCACCACACGCGTATTGGTAAAAGTCGTCGCAGGGGTTTACGGAATAGTCGATTAGCTTGGTCACAGACTCGGGGAGTTCCGTGACGGAGCCAGCCGAAGCGGCAGTGGCCAACGCGCTGAGGAAGATGACGACTTTGACCATCGTAGAGCGAAAACGAAAGTGAAGTTGGCCAAAAATGTCAACCATTGAAGTGAAGACCAGACACCGGATTCCCATACTATAATAGCTACGCTACTCACTGTGATTGGTTTACTATTCGATACCATCGGAAACTTCTTACATACTAATATCACAAGATTCCATTTGGTACCAGTAAAAATCTCTGACCAAGGTGCATCCATCAATCCGTCTCGATAAGAAATTGAAGTCGAGCATGTGGAAAAGATTATTCGTAGACTCAATACAGTACTACCTAGCGGTAGTTGTGGGTTGCAATATACTGTCTGGCCGAAATCGTATTTCGACGAGGTTCTCCTTGATTGCTGTCGTTTAATGTGCAAAATGCCAGTGCGTAATTTCGAAAAGGCGACGATCTATTCGTTGTTGATGGCATTGCTAACCCTATATGTATAGGACTGGAAGTCAAATCAAGTATAATACATGCGCATGATTATACTAGTAGGTACTATGATCAGAAAAATGGCGAATTTGTAATCACTTTCAGTCAGGTCATAAAATTTCACACCGGGGATAAGCCAATCAAACGTCAGTATTGTGTGTGGACTCTGATTGGCGCATCTCTTGTTTACCAGTTAACAATATCGAATTTGTATTGGCTAATAATACTTGAAGTATATAGCTATTAATAGTACTTTCCACCTTGTATTGGCTTAGGCCCAGGTGAGAGATTCTATCATGCAGGAAAAGTTCCTGTTCGATAGGTTAAGCTTACAGTGGTCGAGAGCATCCACGACCCCTTTTGACATGATTTGTTACCAATTGTGAAAAAAAGGACGAAATTTGATAGGGTTGTGTAGATTTTGATCAGGAATCCGAATATACCTCTCTTAACGTATGAATCGCATTATTTGTTGAGATATTCCTCGAAAACTCTTCATTTTGACCTCAAAAGCATTGTGGCATTCTATAAACTGTATGAAATTATGTTTGTATGCCTCATCTGGTTTGTCGAGGTTTACAGTGAGTCAAACCTTCATGTTTCGATGGTGATACAGTACTCTGTCACGGCACCAACTGTTTTGCAAATGTGCACATCCCCTTCATATATCAGCTGGTACCCACAAAAAGTTAAAATATATATTTGAATTATATTAATTGATACAAATTCCAAGGCAACATAAAAAAATACGGATTGGGTCGATGGTCTCAAGCCATAGGATCTCTAATACCCCCCCCAATATCTCCCTTAGAACAGACGGCAAGCAGCCGCGCAATGCTCACTGACAAGATTCCGGTATGCCCGTATGATATGAGTGCAAACTAAGGGTACCTACCAGTCATTGCAATTGCCCACAGCTTCGATTCTTGCCAGTCGCCATCATTTTTCCTTCGTGATATAATTTCCTATTGGACATAATCTAAACTTTTATCCAATCAAAATTCTTAAAATAATTGCTTCAATTTTATGCGCGATGTAGACACAACATATGTGGAATCGGTACCTGTAATATCGACAACGCGTGTCCAAGCATTCCTATTTGTAGTGTCCAATGCTCCATGCTGACTTCGATGAGGTGTGCGCCTTCGTTAACAAATCCAGGCCGCCAGCACTCTCGCTTGGAGAGAGACTTGACATCTTACGTCTACAAGCGTACTTCCGCAAGAATGGCTTGAAAAATCAGTCCGGCCATATCGCTGAGTTGTTGGGTCGAAGCATTAAAACTGTGAAGGGTGTGTGGTCTGAGTACTGCACTACCAAAGCCTTAACAGTAGCCTCTGCTCCGTCGAATCGCACGGAGCACGCGTGCCGCATTCCAAGCTCCAAAGTAGTCACAAAGCTTGTTTTGGAGTTTGTACGAACCCGTCGGCTCACAAGGACGCGAGTTGTTGCCAAAGACATTCTGGCACTGTTGTCAGAGAATGGCCACATATCAGTGGACATGTCGAATGCTAAGGACGTATCGGCAGCGTTGCGGGCGTCGCAAGCCTTTCTCGCAAAGCAAGGGTACATGCGTGGAGCGCAGAAGGGGGGTGCCTATGGTTTGACAAAGGAGTTGGTAATCAAACGCGACAACTATGTCCGGTTCATTGACGCAGCCTTAAAGGAATCGCCTTCAAGAACGATTGTCTACATTGACGAGTCGTACATCCACCACCACTACTCTCGACACAACG